CCTTAATGATTCTATGATTCTATGATGGCTGCTGCCTCCTAGAAATGTGGGATTCTCACTTACTCTGGCCTTTGGTTGCTCTGGAGAGGGAATGAATGCCACCGCCACCAATTCTAGTGGCTTCCACTGAGCCCTGTGTGTGTAAGGAGAGACTTAGGGTCCTCTTGGTTCCTCCTTCTTGATGTCCGTCCTTTCCTCCTTAATTTCTTTTCCTTTCTTCCTCTGGTTCACCAGAAGTCATCTGCTGTCTCTTAGCAAGCTACATCTTTTGCAGCACTGGCACCGGAATGCAGCTGAAAGCAGTGCTCTGAGCAGTCCAGTTTGGCCATGTTGATGGTAGCAGGTGGGAGAATATTCCGTGCGTGTACTTCAGCATTAGCAAAGCCTCAGTAAAAGGGAGGTTTTATTTTCTTTATCTGGTGATCTTTCCAATTATGTGTGTCTCTCCTTTCCTTCTTTCCCTTGCCCTTATGGAAAACAGGATTGGAGTTCTGCAACTGCATAACTAATTTTTCTTTCCTCTCCCTCCATTCCAGCCAAGACATCATGAATGATTTTTTAATTTTAAGGTTTTTTTCCTTGTTTCCAGTTTTTGAAACTTCACGTTGTAATTAAAGAATGAATTTTATCTTTAATGAAGCACAGTGGTTTTCATTTATAAACATTAATACAATGCATTAAATACATGCATAGTTTTGAGCAAGACTGAAGCCTACTTGAAGCGCTGGCAATTGCTGGAAAGGTGACAGGGCCAAGCAGGAAGCTGAGGGATTTTTTGGGAACCACTTATTTCAATGAAATTGGAGTAACAGCACAGTCCACATAAATTTTTTTTCTGTTACCTGCAAGATTCTCATTCCGCAAAAATATACCTACCTAACATAGAATACTTTGAAATATCTGTTGAATTCTGTCCTTTACTAAATTGGGGTCTCAATTGTGAATGTAAATTTCTACTGTCTCATGTAAAATTTACATGGTTTGTTGGACCAGGTAGCTTGCAATGAGGTGTTAGTATTCTGCCTGAAGTTTAGAATCATGTTCTAGAAAGGGCGCCTCCTTATGGGACTTTGGATGGCAATTGCAGTTGTTAAAATGAGTGTTTTCTTTGGTGTGGCGTATCTGAAGGCTTTGTATCAAAGTGTCTAGTGAGTACTAGTAGAGGCGCTTGTATCCTTGGCCAGTCGTCATATCAATCATTTGTTGAAATTAAGTGCCCTGAGTCAGAGAGCGTGGTCCAGTTTGGGTTCTGGATTAAAGACAGTAGAGCGCTTTCATGGATTAGAGGCTTAAAGGAATCAAAAGGGCATAAATGACCTGTACTAGAGGTCCGAGGAGCACAAAGCTCCCAGTGAAAGACGGTGGACGTTGTTCACTGCTTCTGTTAAAGGAAATTGCAGAAACTGTAATTTCAGTAGTTCGAGAGTAGTTCCTGCAAATGCATTAAGGACTTCCTGCAAAAATTGCATGACACTGGACTTTTTATTTTCCTCATTAAAGGTGAGCCATGTCTTTCCATTCCGGGCGAGGATGTCCCCGTGGTCAGGGGGGACCAGGAGCAAGAACTTCAACACAGACGTATCGCCCTCAAAACCTACGGCAGCTTCACCCACAACAGCCCTCCGTACAATACCAGTATGACCAGCAAACTGCCCCTCCAACAACGTATTCAAACCCTCCAACCACCAGTTACATGCCTCCCCGGCCAGACTTTGTGCCCTATCCTCCTCCAGTGCCCCCTTCCACACAAAATCCCATCAGCCAGTGTCCTATGAGGCCGCCATTTCCAAACCACCAGATGAGGCAGAGTTTCCCGGTGCCTCCGTGCTTCCCTCCCGCTCCTCCGCCAGTGCCAAATCCTAGCAACGCTCCTGTGCCAGGAACTCCTGCTGGGCAAGGCACCTTTC